GTCTTCTCCGTTCAGATTGGGTAGCGATTCCGTTGCTGACTGGCATCTTCGTCATATAGCAATTAATTCAAAACTACAAGTGTTTCTGACAGCCAGTTTTCATTTGTACAAAGATATTGGTAAGTTAAGTGTGCAGCTATTCTGTTACGCAGAACAATAAACATAGACTCCACTGAAGAGGCTATTTGCAGCAATGGAAATTGTCAGGGTTGTCATGTTTGCTTCATTTGCAATTGACAGTAATTGGAAATATGCGAGCAGAAGCACAGTAAATAATCGAGATCAGATTTCACCGCATATCGCACCGCCCCTTTTTTAAAGTTGCCTGTGGAGGGGGGCATTTAAGCAAGCCACGGCTACTTATTATATGTGCACCTGCAGTGCCAGGTACATTCTGTTCGCCTGAACCACTTCACGCTCATGATGAAAGATGTTCCTGGAGTTGGAGCGTATTATACGTTACAGCATGAACAAAAGTGAATCAATGATATAAGATGAGAATTGCAATTGAATGTAATTAACATGATTTGAAGTAAGCGAAAGGGTTTAGAAACAGTGCAGAAGCATATTGCGTTTTACACCAAACCGAGTGCAAACGGCGACAACAAATGTTATCAGTAGCCATTATGGTTGTGGAAAATGGAATAACCATGTTGTCTGTTAGATTTAGTTTAAAATTGCTTTTCTCTGGAATTTAAAATTTACAACTGAGACAACTTCTAGAGGAAGACTTTTGGGTTAGATTCAAAAATAATAGAAGCTTATTGTGACGGTCTTAATAAAAACAATATTATGGTAGTTGAGGTTGAGTTTCTGCAACACCCATTGCCAATAATTTAGACATATCATTATTAAAATGGTAACCTCAAAATTTAAGTTAAATAATGTCTATAACATGGAAGAACTCGTAGGGGAAAGTCAAGTTATAGTATTCACTAACTAGTAAATGTAGATTTATGTAGACAGCTGTTCAAACAAGCTTCAAGCGTGGATAAAAAAGTTGGACGAGACAGACAACAAGTATCAGTTGAACATGGTATAGCTAAAAATAGTCATTTATAATTCAACCAAAAAATCTGAAAATTAATGATTAAGTCAGCATATAAATTGACTGTGGCACTTCGAAAAATAATGTATGTTTGTGTGATCGTCACTCTGAGCCATTTGCATAAGCACATCTCTGTGGTTTGTGATATTCGTTGTGTCGACAATATTGCAACACTTTTCCTATGTGGCATCTGTTACTGCACCGTAGAAGAGAATATTTCTCTTCGAAATCAAATCTGTTTCTACCTTGATCCTCCATGCTGCACGCTAACCTCTCTGTCGACGTCTGTCAGCGTTCGGCTGCCTCGCGAGAATCTCATGGGCTGGAGTAAATGGCTTGTCCAACAGGGCCAACCTCTTTTTCCTAATCTTCACATCTACCGCGCATACTCCTTCTAGGAATAGGATATAGTGATCCTACCATTTGACCCTCTTTATGAATCAAAGCCAACCCTTCGGAACGCACTTCAACCGTCGTTCTTGATCGACGTTATAACGAAAGTTTCACTAAACCATTGGAAAAGGTGAACTTTTGTTTGATAACTCGATAATATGATCGTGACAGTTCATTGTATTAGTCGCCTGCAATCACAACTCCAAAAGCGCAGTGCACAATGGACAATATAATTTTTTTCTATTGGGCAAAAACGATCTCATATCATGAGGTTGCAGGAGGAGGAGGACGATCTCACATCAGGCTTACTAGTAACCACCATCGCGCTGAAGATAGATTTATTTCTTTAGTACAGTTGTAGTCATGGTTATTGACATACTGTTTAATGCACATTCAACGCCAACGTATAGAAGAGCCATCAAAATCACTTGTCGAGGACGTTTGAGGCACAAGTCGAAACTTTGACTGGTGTGAGATCGCTCTTCTTTGATAAAATAGAACCGGTTTCCTTCTTTTGTGCAACTCTGCTTCTAAACTTACCCGGAAACGCTGTTCTGACAGTCTTAGCATTAAATCTGACAGATTTTTAACCTTGTCATCTGACGCTTGTTTATTAATGTACGTGTCAATGCATGATCCATCTATTACCAAAAATGTGAATTCTGCAATAATAGCAAACAAAGGCTATAAATGTTATATAAATGCATATCAATTTAGGGTTTTGATATAAAGTTAGACTTTACTACAGATTTTCCAGGTAAGAAGTCAGAGACAGCTCCTCGACGTATATGAGCATGAGACTTACTATAGGTAGCATGCGCTTCATTCCTAACATAATCGATAAGCGTAGAACTTCTGTTTGGAAAATTAGCAAAGCTAGAAATATCATCAGCTTCGTCGCCCAATACCCTCATGGCAGTTTCCAACATGCGGCATGTATTAGTTTAGTCATTTTTGCCCAGAGGGCCCTTATTAGCAATGCTTGTCTTATGCATTTCACGGAATGTAGAAAATGTGGCTTGACCAAATATTTTCATAGGTTAGATTCACGACCTGATCATCACCGATCATTTATTTATCGCGTAGACTAATGGGTGCACGAAATAAGTGCATGCAGCTAATCAATTACCCTGTTGAGTTTCCCAACATCACATCGACCTCGTTGAATTGTAATTACGGCATCCTCGTTAAAGCAATTTTGAACTATTTGCAGAGAGAAGCGATCCTTATGACCTCTTCGATGGCACAGAAGAAGAGATTGGCGTGATAATGAGTAATTATTGACAGTTGATTCGATAATTGAAGTGCCAGTCTAATGAAACAGGAGAATACTTTTACCAACGCAACGTAATTTCTGAGTTTGGATTCGCTAATGCTGCACCGCTGCTACGTTTTACTTTACTGTACTCTAAGTTCAGTGACATTTTGGCGCATACCCATTGGACTAAAGTACAAGTGTCCTTGGGAACAAACGGTAATCTTAAGTTTATTGATCACAATCCAACTTGTTCTCATTGTAGACATGACAAGAATCGCGTCAGTAGCCCTCCAATTTTATCTCTTATTGAGGTTTTTTTCTTGAGAATTTTTTCGGCACTTGATTCAGGATGCCAATCCTCCCGAACTATTTCCGATATCTCCGTAGTCTGCAATATCCCAACGGATTCAGAGTAGTGGAGCGCTTTTTTTGACATTGGTCATTTACAGATATCATTGCCGAGTGGGGAACAACACCGTTTGAGTCCGCCCTCAAATTTAAAATTAAGCAATTTAATTCATTTTCGGATTACAGATGAAAAATGAATAATTTAAAGGTTCAGTTGTCAGTTGGTTACTTTTTTCCAATTGCCGCATTAAGATTTCTTTAATTTGGTACGTGGCTTATGTGCAACAATGAAAATAAAGCAGAATACTGTCATATAAAATTAAATGAAATCATTGTTTTGAAGCATTTGTGAATAACTCCGTAAAATTTCAAAACTGAAGAATTACTTACGTTTTCTCTGTGTGTATGTAGGGTGTGAAATAAAGGAACAGTTTCTTTCAGTGAAATGAAGTGTTACCGAGAAATTCCGTTATAAACAGTTTTCGAATGTTCACTCGTGACATGAGTCAAAGGATGCGAATCGTATGCAGTTTAACTGTATTAACATATTGCTTCATTTTCAATATAATACTAGAATTCCTTATATCATCATTCTTATATGATGTGTGCCATCGCCGCGTTGCAAACCGTACTGCGTCTATTTTAAAAATACTCCTTAGTTTAAATAACTGTTTCTAAGTTATGATCCCTGAATCCACTGCGGTAAAACCGTTCACAAACTTTATATAACATTCGTATACGGAGCGAATACTATTAAAACTATTCCGCCATAGATATTGTTCTTCATAAACTAACCTCATGTTCAAATCAGTGACAATTAGCATTTGTGAAAATTGGAAATACGTAGACGATACACCGACCGAGGTATGTAGCGATCGTGAAGTTTTAAAAACTCCTGAACAATTGATGTAATGTTAGTAAACTGAACCTGAGGATTTTTTAAAGACCTTCAATGTAAACATATTTGGTCACTCGACACATTAGTCGAATCCGAGACGAAAGTTCTGAAGACCACTGTCCCTAATTTGTTCATGTTCTACGACGAAAGGAGCGTCGATAAAGTTTCAGACTTCAGATGGTAATGTCATAAGGTACGCTACAAGTCCTGTAAGCTCTTAACCTTTCGAATCAGTCAATGACTTTAAACGGAGAATATGACTACCATCTGTAGAAATTGTTCGATTCAAAGAGTGAAAATTTCTAAAATTGCTGAATGCATCGAAAATGAATTTCTGAAGGCAAACTTCTGATGAACAAAAAGATTCATACTTATTGTATATTTCAACTGAATTTTGCAGGGTGCATTTGATACTCATTGTTAGGTTAATTAAGCAGAACTGTTTAATCAGCATAAATCAATACACCCAGAAGACAAGACCATTGCTCGTAGTGAGTCACGTCCATGCTATCCAAATTATTCGCTTTGAGACTATGACAACTGTGAATTGTTGAAGAAACAACGGCAATTAGAACAGCGGTAAGGGTGTCTGTTTTCGACGTTGGTGTTCTTCATTATAACCCTTTTCTTAAGTGATGGATAAACATATTCCAAAAGATTTTGCTACAAAATTCTGTCTTCTGCATTGCATCCGTGGTGCCCAGATCTCCTAAGTTCATCTTGCTACAGAATTGGAGGTTTTTCTATGAGTAATTTACTCTCTCTTGGAATCGATTCTAACATCTCTTAAGGAAGTGGGGACAGTGGTGCATTTGGTCAGTAGATGCTTTGCAGCCAATAATGCGGACTAAAAAAAACGCGTGGAATGAACTTTCGTTTATTGACTGCTAATTCCCTTGAGCAAGAAATTCATCCTATTCTGCTTCTGTGCAGCCAGCTGGAAAAAGTCTTGCCGGTCGCTGACGTGCCAAAAATAGGGACAGCATAGTGCGTTGATACGGTTATGCGAAAGCGTGTGAGACATACGGCTGCGCTGTGTGATGGGTGCCCTCTACGGCTACAATTCACCTCGACCCATCTGATCTGATAGTTGACTTAAACTGAGCACGGAGTGTAAACGTAAATCTGAAAAATATTTACAAAACTTTAAAACTATTTCGGTGATAATCTGTTCATATTGTACTTAATTTTAAACAAAGCTTGAACGATAGGACTGTGTGCCTAAGCGATGCGGAATATAGCCATTGCAGCTGCTTAATGTTAAATTGAAGTACTATTTCTGAAGGTCAGAGCTGATGAGTAGGGGGCTATAGTGCTGTTCCAGCTTTGAAACGAGAACACTCAACACGCAACTGGTGCCGACCTTTATGAAAGGCTTTGAACATGACTTACCTGCGACTACATAGGCATTTGCATATAGACAAAGTACAGAACTATAGCTTCTCCTAGTCTAGGCTAGGTTTCATAAGCAAGTAATAACCTGTGCAAGAAAATTCAAATCTGTGAGGACAAACATAAATTTCACTTAATTTTGAAAACAGGTACGTGATTAGCGCACAAAATTGATTGAAGCTGCTAGACATTTGCTTGACTTGATACACATTGTTCACTTAAGCATTTTGCGTAGTTTTCTATAACAATCCAGAGTCTTTAGCTTTGTAAGATCAAATTTCTGGGCCAAGTTGCCAACGTATGAAATTTTGCACTGATTTAATGGGCACTTCAGCGCTGTCACTCACGTTTGCTGTAAACCGTTAATTTTATGAAAATGATTCAAAATTTTAGGCACTGCGCTTAATCGATGGCAAGCTTTTTGTTTAATAATCGAATAGAGTCTGAAACGTGTTTTGGAAAATATTTTTAGCATTTTTGGTTTGTATCAGCACTTAGTGATAATGTGACAGTGCTTCTGATTTCTAAACGTTGGAACTCTTGTACGAAAGTAACGTTTGCTTACAAACAAACAGAAACGCGTTGATGATTCAACATCAATTCATACACGCGCCGATGATTAACGCAATCTCAAAATATAAATCTTCAACAAACTGCAATTGTCTGTTAACCATGAGTGGTAGAGAGCAGTTGTCAAGA